TTCCCTTCCATCCTGCCTGCACACCGGCCTGTGACGGATCATCACAGCCCAGGAGCTGCTCAACTTTTCCCATTCAATTAGCAAGGGAGGTGGAGCAGGAGGAGCCGGTCCCGGGGAGGAGCGATCCATGATCAGTACACGTGTTTGGCCCCGGCTCCAAAGCTGCCAGAAGCTCTGGTCGGGTGGATTGATCTTCAGAGATGGTTCTGCTTGTTATGGGACGTGAACAGCACGGAGTTACCAGGTGAGTTTTCACCACAAAACAGTAAAACGCCGCTGTAGTGGTGAACAGAATGAGGTTTCAGCACCACGGACAGCACCTGAGAGCTGCTGCTGGACTGAATGGTCAGCTTTTTTTTTAAATCTTATTAATCCACAGTGTAGCTGTGGGTAAATCATGATTCAATGTGATCATAATAATCACTATTAATCACAAATAATCATGATTAATGACAATTAATAACGATTAATCGTGATTAATGACAATTAATCATGATTAATCGTGATTAATCAACATGCAAAATGAGTTTTTTTTTTTCCAGAACAGTGAGGTGCTATTAGTTTTTTTTTTTTTTGCCAGAACAGTGAGGTGCTATAACTAATGTGTTTCACACCTGTTTTTCTTCGTGACTAATCCAAATGATGAATGTATGTTCAGCTTCACTGAGTTGTCAGGTTTCAGTCATTATTGTAAATATTGGCAGTGGTTTGTGTAAAACTCCATGTAGTCGAGCATTCACACATGAACAGATGACGGAGTTACTGACTATAAGTACAGGTCGCTCCGCCCACTGCCTAAAAAAAAAGTTTAAAAAAATTAACCAATGCCATTAAAGCACTATTTTCAACATAAACACAGAGGTATCGCTCTGCTCCGTCCATTAAAGAGTCCTCGCGGTGTCCATGAATTAAGATGGCTGAAATACTGTGTAATTGTAGCCGGAGCGATCGCAGGAACAACAGTTACAACTCATTTCCCCGCGTAACACTAATTTAAGTGCTTCCAAAGTCATTATATGTGAAGGACTAATGTTATAAGAAAAAATTTAACTGCAGTGAATGGTGACATTAATAATGTATTCATGCGAGACAGAGACTCAAGCAAAGTGGCCCGAGCTGAGAGAGGTAAGAGGGAGGAAAGTGATAGCTGTGAAGAAACAAGGTCGTCAGCATTCCCTCCTGCCTCTCCACTCAATTCATTATCTCCTCCCTTTCTTCTCCTCTTTAAAGACCAAGACGCAGGAGAAGCTACTGACCCCGCTCTACGTTCGCGGCGGAGAAGCAGGACAAATGAAGTTTCCCCTCAGACCCCCACCGTATTAATATCATAATTATCCCCACCTCTTCGCCCCTGTCGGCGAGCACAAACTCCACCGTCCGAATTGATGGAGTGGGGCAAGTAGAGAATTACATTCGATTAGCATTAAACAAGAAAAGGGGACGTGGAGCGATACGATCAATCAGTGCCACGGGCGCACGCCGCGTCGTCGATGAGTGTGTGTCTGTCGGCCTCTCACGACTTTCGTTCATGGAAAAGGACTGAGAAGAACCGACGGAACCAAATCAGAGGTCCGTCCATACCATTAATTGTAAAGTTTGCTGCCCATTTACTGCCCCCTGCTGGGGCAGACCGAGACTCCGAGCACGGTTTGGTAGTAAATATTTAAAACTTACCACAATAAGACACAGCACGGTCTATTTTTACTCTGATTTGATTCATCCCAGGTGATGAAGCGCACACTCTGTCGTCGACAGCTCTCTGCCACAGCAGCAGCCGTTTGGATTTATCGTTTACAACCCTGAAAAAACACGCTGGTCCGACTCTTCCACCCCGGCTCTTTCAGGGGACGAAGGAGACGTTTTAAAGTGGTCTAATGCCGCTGAGAGGTGGAGGTAGTGAGTTAAAGAAGAGCAGATTGATAGTGAAAGGAAGAAGGAGTTTATAGATTGAGAATAGAGCCCCCCCTGCTGGTCTTTATTCCAGACCCTGATCTCATTAACAGGGCCCTGACTGGATCCACAGCTTTGCCTAAAACACCAGACCTGCATCGATTGTCAATGACACACACACACACACACATAATGCATTTCTAACCCCTGACCCTAAACTTAACCCTGGGCAAACTGTGGTTAGTGGGCCAGTTGCAGCCCACTGGGCTCTTCAGTCTGACACGCAAAAAACTGGCACACGATATGGCGATACATACTGAGGTCAATGACAACAACAGACATCAAACGTCCCAAATTATCTTTGAAAGTTTAGGTTCATTCTTGTACATTTATTTTTCAAATTACTTCATCCAGCATTCTACATCCTTCAGGCTAGTGAGCCTAAATTCGTTTGCCCACCTCCAGATACACCACCTAATCTTATTCCTTACCCTAATCCTAATCCGTCACTCATTCTAATCCCAACTCCAAACTAAACACCTTCAACCTCACAAAACCATCGTTCCTCGTGGGGACCTAGAAATGTCCCCACAAGTATAGCAGTACCTAAACACACACACACACATACATTTAATACACACCGTTCTCTCTCTCTCTCTCTCTCTCTCTCTCTCTATTCTGTTTTTTTTTGTCTTCCAATCGTAAAATCCATCTTCCTTCAAAAGGTTTTTTTTTTCAGCCTAACTTTTTAAAAGTTGTGTTCCTCTCATTCTTCCTCCCATTCACCGTCTGCCCCCCCGTCCCCTCCCCTGTCGTCCTCTCCCCTGTCCCCCGCCCCTCTGTCCTCTATGTTTCCTCCCTGTCAGTGCTGTGTAATAGGAGTTATTTTCATCCCTGTCTCTCTGTGACTATGGTCGCTGGATGGCTGAATATTTACATTTTTCACTCACTGGTGACCTTTCTCTGTTACCGCTCTGGGAGCTGCAGTCTCCGAGCTGTTCCACTGTTGATAGACTACTGCCTGCAAATCTTATATGGACACAGCAAATGGTACACAGGGAGACGGGGACAGATAGTTCAGAGACCGGACAAAAGTGGGAAAATAAAAAGCGAGAGAAAGAGAGAGAGAGAATGAGACACGGACTGTGGCGACGGCAGGACAGGAATGTCTCAACACAAATATGTATGTATATATATATTTTTTTAAAAATAAAACACCTGTAGGAGGTTTACCAAAATATGTAGAAATATGCAAAAACATTTTTTTTCCCTCCGTGCCTTTGTGATCGTGACTTTGTTGTCAACACTGTGGCAAAAAAAAAAACACCTTGAATGAAATGTAACTCCCTGGTTTCAGATATTCTGACCGGCTCAGAAGTGCCGGGAAAAAAAAAAAAAACCGAGGAGGAGGAACATATACCAATTTCTCCGCAGTGGCAGAAAAGTACAGTATTGTTGAGACGGTATGGGTGCTGGTGGAAAAGTGTAAAATTGCAGAGGAGCTGCAGCAGGTCAGAGGATGTCAACTGAGGAGGAGGAGGAGGAGGAGGAAGAGGAGGAAGAGGAGGAGATGGTCTTTGTTTTGTTTTTTTGGGACAGTCTGTTGTACAAACACATGTATCTGTGTACAAGAATTTATATATTTTTATTCACAGCTGTGAAGCTTTTTATCAAAGTCAACAAACTTCTTTTCTAAGACGAAAATCTTTCTCGAAATAAACTGGACGACATCACACTGCTAAATGACAGCAGTGAAATGAAGTGATAAATAAGATAAAAGTCATAATGTTAATACAAATATTATTAGCAACAATAACAATAATATATTATTATTATGTGTGTTGTTATTATTAATAATAATTATATTAATATATAGTGTCCATGAACAGCCTCTGACCAGAACAAACGTTTCTCCTCTGTTCTTCCACAGCAGATGGCTGGAGCTGATATATTCAGGAGTTTCCGTCCTGTAAATAAACCTACGGTTCACTGTGAGAGTGATGCGTTCCTAACCTAAAACTGAGGTCAAGTAAAGGTCACATCCAACTGTCAGGCCACGTTAAAAGACTTTTTTTTTTTTTTTTTTTTGGTCTTTTTCCCTCCAGCTCAGTGTTGTTGTTGTTACTGCATGTGACGAGAGTCGCAGACAAACAAACAGTTGTTGTGGAGAAAGCCTTTGTTTGCTGTGGGAACACTAATTATTTTGATTAGCATTTAAGCATTGTTGCAGCCAGCTTTCACCCCCCCTCCCCCTCCTCACCCCCTCATCCAAACCCTCCTTTGTCTTTTCTCCTTCCAGAGTGCTTTTCTCTTTAACTAATAGACATCACAAAGGGAGGATAGATTTGGCTTCAACTCTATTAAGAACGAAGGAGACTTTTCTTTTTCTTTTTTCTTGTTTGCATCAATGGCTTTTCATTTCCAGAGCATTTAGAAAGGACGAAATAAACGGGGGACAGACAGACAGAGAGACAGAGAGACAGACAGACTGGACCAACCGACACACAGACTGACAGTTAAAGCAGTCTGCACCGCTCCACGTCTCCGTGTGTGTGTCCTTTATGCCGCCCTAATATAGTGTTCATGAATGGCACCTTCCAGCCATAATGGCTGCCATGCTAAACAAGAATGATGAGATGTATTGGGGAGGTGATCAAAGGAGCACTATTTACAACCACTGTCAGCCCTGCAGACTTGACGACCCACTGTAAGCACACTATACTGTACAGGAAACCTCCTCCATCATGCTTTTACTGCCCATCACCGCAGCTGTTAGACAGCGGCGATGGCAAAGCTTTTAGCAGACTGAGATACGGTCCTCCTGCCGGACGGCGTGCATGGCCAACGCCATCAGGAAAGTGAATGACTGGGGAAGATAAGGGAAATGGAGGCCGGCAGGAGAAATGAGAAGAAAGAGAGCGGGAGAAGGTGGCGAGGGGGCGGCGTGATATCAGCCTGCTGGCTGTCAAGAGGAAAACGCCGGGGTTAAATGAAAACTGATATCGTGCAACTCGCTCCCGTTCCAGCGGAGAGGCTGGGGTGGTTTATGAGGGCAAGTGCGGCGTGTTGAACTGAAGGGGGCAAGAGGAGAGAAAAGAGGACGTCCTTACCTGGAGCAGCCAGTAGCACCGACGGTGGAAGGTGGGGATGATGGAGGAGTGGACGTAGCAGCCGTACAGACACTGGAGTGAGGAGCAGGGGGAGGCAGAGGGGGAGGGGGAGGGAGAGAGAGAGGGAGAGAGAGAGGGAGAACATTACACTACAGTACAGTGCAGGGAAATAAGCTGACCTGTCTGTTGACAGGAACAACTGTGACCTTTCACCCCTGACCCCCCCCCTTCCCAGAGTCCCACGTGAGCATGCTGGCAGATGGTCCAGTCATTGTTCTGTAACAAGGGCCGAGAACTGGGCAGAGCAGGTAGAAGAGGTTAACGAAGAGGCTCACCTCCGATGACTCCTCGCCTCCTTCACTTCACTCCTTTCCTCTTTCATAATTCCCTTCCTTTTCTCCTCCCTAGTTTTCTTTTCTTTCCTTCTTCTTTTTCATTGTTACTTCCTTCTTTTCATCTTTCCTTCCTCCCCTCTCCTCACCCTTCTTTTTTTTACCTTTTTTGTTCCATCCTTCCTTTCCTTTTCCTCTCTCCTAACCTCCTTCCTTCCTTCCCTCCCATCCTCTACTATCCTGTCCAGTCTGGTGAGACCTCTGAAAAAACGTTTCAGGTGATTCTT